CTCGTCTAGATCTCCTCCTGGTTTGAGCGATCGGCTTTAAATCGTCTCGAATGCGCTTCGGATGGCATTTATACTGGTCTTTTCACCATCAGATCACAGAACACGCATGAAGTGGACAGGTGTAACATCTGTTCAATGAAAGGCATTTAGGAGATTATCCACACTAGTTTCCCCCGGCCTTTATTTGTCCGCGCTGATCACGCACCCGGCCACTATCAGAGGCCGGCGTTTATTTGAATACCGGTTTTTACTGAATTAGACGTGATATTTTATTTTTTTTGTATTTTTTTTTTCTCCCTTTTTTCCCTCGTATGTTTGAGGCTGTATTTGTATGGACCTTGGAGTCACCGAGAATTAAAAATAATATATATATACATAGGGATGTCACGGTACCAAAATTCCATTAGTCGGTACCGATACCAGTAAAATTTTACAGTTCTCGGTACCAATTTCGGTACCACAGCAAAATTCAGTTTGAACTATTTTTCCAATTTATTTAATTATTTGAAGAAAAAAAAAGATTAAATTCATTTCAATGACTTTATTTATGACGGTACATTTATGAAAGCATTGAAGGCTACATGCTGTTTAAACGAAAATATTGATGATATTGATTGAGAAATATTGCTTATAAAAAAATCAAGTGAAAAATAAGCAACCTTCTATGCACACATTATTATTAGTAGTAGTAGTAGGGCTGGGCGATAAAACGATAACGATATGTATCGCGATAGACACGTGATCGATATCAATAAAAAATATGTTCGATAAAACGTTCGATATTTTTTTCTTCGTCGGAAGAAACCACAGGTTGCGAAGCAAGTTTGGTTGCATTAACAAAGGCACTCGCTCTCTTGTAACCTAGCAACGTAGGGAGTGACACTAACAGGCAATCATGTAACGTGCCAGTTGGTTGCGCCATATCGTTGTCTCGTGCTGCTGGGTTCCTCTTCAGTAACCGGCGATTGATAAGCAGAAAATGAGTGCCCTTCATCTGGATGCCATGCAGGCTAGAATTGCGAAACATTATTGGATAATTCGCTCTATTCGCGTTTGATGTGAACACAGCATAATGAACAGGCTGCGATGTCAAGATTGCAATGCTGGAGTGTGTGTGTGTGTGTGTGTGTGTGTGTGTGTGTGTGTGTGTGTGTGTGTGTGTGTGTGTGTGTGTGTGTGTGTGTGTGTGTGTGTGTGTGTGTGTGTGTGTGTGTGTGTGTGTGTGTGTGTGTGTGTGTGTGTGTGTGTGTGTGTGTACACGCGCGAGAGAGAGAGAGTAGGCACGGGCGCGAGAGAGACGCGAACAGTGGAGACATAAAACATACTCCGTCATTTGGTTAATACAGGACATCATTCAGTCAGTCTGCAAAGTGTTTACTTATATTTGTGTAAGGACTATACTCGCAATAAAAGACAACATTGTGCTTTTGTCACTGTATTTCTTGTCAAACTGTAACCTGTCACCGTTTTAAAAGCAAACATATTTATCCAACCCCTTTTTAAAACAGTCTGTGTGTTCCATCTTTTGGACATTCATCATATCGCATTGGTTTTCATTTCTTGTCCTCAAAACAGAGCACTAATCTGTTTATTTAAGGAAATTAAGGAAATATATTATATTAAGGAAAACAAATATATTGATCTGAAATATAGCAAATTAATTTTAAATTCATTCAGGTACAATTACCAAACATATCTCATATCTATCTTTATATTAGTTTAATTAATAAACCAATTATATAAAACTATTATCAGTGCACTATAAATAAACTGGTTCTATGCCTTTATTAATAAAACTTATTTAAAAAATACAAGGCTTAAGACATTTATAAAAATGCCTTCTATATTTCTGTTTTGCTTTTCACTCCATTGTACCGAAATCGTGATGTCTAAAAAAAGAAATCAAGCAGGGGGCACGTACGATCACAACCCCCACCACCCCGTCCCGCCGCGCCACTGTCACCTTTTTTACTCTGAGGAGTTTGCAGGTCTGATTGTGAATTTAGACTTATGTTTACATTTTAATTATTTGAGTTTTCCATGGTTGTGTTGACATTTCTGTCTTGGGATTGTAATCAGAGGAAGGTTAAGTTTAAAATAAAAATGTTTAAATGTAATATATTTTTTCTCCTGGTCCTTATTTTAAATGGGTCATAAAAAAATCAATAATTATCGATATCGACCGATATGAAACACTGATATCGTGATACAGTTTTCAGCCATATCGCCCAGCCCTAAGTAGTAGTATTTTTAATTAATGGAGACGTAGTTAAATCTATTGTACAGTAGCCTAATATAATTATTTCTGTCAATTTCTTTAAGTTAAAGCAAACTTTTATTTTGACGGGTTGCCGTGAAGACCTTTGAGTTTCTGTGTGTGTGTGATATGACGATGGTTTTTCTCAAATGAAACGGTAAAATGCTCATGAAGTGACTCTCGGAGATGAACTGAATCATGAATCATGTCATCATATCGTGAGGCAGCAGAGACTGAAAACAGCGCGAGCGTCACTCGTGCTTCAGTGTGTGTGTGTGTGTGTGTGTGTGTGTGTGTGAGGTAACGTTAAATGAAACCGCGCGTCTGCGCCGTTCATTCACACAGAGACAAGCAGAACATGCAGGGTTAATATTTAAACAGTCTTTTTGCAGTTTAATACACACACACACGACACACACAATCAGCAGCGCCGCCGGTCGCCATGTCTCAGCGCTTTCATGAAGAGGACGCCACTTCACGCCCTTCGTGCATGCATGCGCGTCCAGAACCGGGTTTGACCGGGTACTCGGTACCACCGTGACGTTCAAAAAATTTTAGCACCGAATATTTTGACAACACTATTTATACATATATATATATATGTATTGTTAATGAAGTGATTCCGGCGAGACAGTGAGTGATCTTCACATTATTGACCGAGAGGTTTATTAGGCTACTGTCACTTTAAGAGCAAACGCACTCATCCTATATACTGAAGCGCATCTGATTAACCCTTTACGGTCACTGAAGTCATAAACGACTGTTATAACTGCGTTGCTCCTAGTGTCTGACTGCGGCTTCGTGTGTGTGTGTGTGTGTGTGTGTGTGTGTGTGTGTGTGTGTGTGTGTGTTTCAGTTTACCCGACACACGGATACTCTGCAAATAACAGCTACGGCAGCCAGTCCTGGTACAGCTACCCATCCAACGGCTACTCGAGCTCCTATCCCACATACTGGAGTACCGGCAGCGGGGCGACCGGCCAATCACAGCTGAGCAGTGGAGCGACCGGCCAATCACAGCTGAGCAGCGGCGCGACCGGCCAATCACAGCTGAGCAGCGGCGCAGTGCAGTATCCGGTGCGCCAACAGAGCGCCTTCCTACTGCCGGTGAGAGGCCGCGAGAGTCACGCCTGTCAATCAACACAGCTGTGACATCAGTTAACTGAGTGTGTGTGTGTGTGTGTGTGTGTGTGTGTGTAGGAGGAGGCAGCAGTGTCAGACGGAGCAGACGGCGGCTCCAGCCCAAAGCAACACACTGCAGAAGAGGAGCAGAAAACACAGGTGTGTGTGTGTGAGAGAGACTGAGTGATGGTGATCACATGTTTATTCTGAGATTGCTCTGACGTGTGTGTGTGTGTGTGTGTGTGTGTGTGTCTCCAGATCTGCACAGATGTTCCAGTGGAGGACGTCAGTGCTGTGGAGGACTGCAGGTCTATCCTTGTTTCTGTGTTCAATCATGTTTTCTACAGTCACTGTAATCATGCGTTCATATATTAGTGTTCATCACTAGTTCAGTGATGTTGACTTTAGGCCTTTCTTTCTTAAAGGGCCCCTGTTCTGCTATTTTAAAGGCCCCTATTGTGCTATTTTAAAGGCTGCTAATGTTGTTTGGGCGTCTCCTACAACAGGTTCACATTCATCCAAGGTCAAACACACACTAATGTCCTCATAATCTCCACTGCAGCTTCAGCTCTTTCCTCTCAGTGTCTGAAACGCTTCATCAAGGACTCAGTCTCTCTAAGCTCCGCCTCTCTGAGAGCTGCTCTGCTGTGATTGGTCAGAAAGCAAACGCTCATTATCATATCTGAATCTCAGCTCTTGATCACAGTGATGCGAACAGTAACGATGGCGTGGGTTTACCGTCTCGATCTCAGAAAACAGCGTCTCCTCGACACGAACAACACGAGCCGAACTCTCCCAGTCTCAGATACACTACAGTGTTTGAGGGCGGAGCTAAGAGACGCTGCTCAGCCAATCAACACCACAGGCTGGCATTATGCTAATTAGTCACACACCTACGCAGGATCAGCAGGAAGTGAGACTGGATTACTGACGACTCGTTTCAGTTCAGAATCACTTCTTTCTTTTGTTAGACAGTAACTCAGTTTATCTGACTGTAACCTTGCAGAGCTTTTACAGCTTTATAACACCAAATGTAACGTAACGTCCCAAAAAGCATAATAGGCACTAAATAATAATTCTGCTCTTCATGCATGTGATTCTCTGCTGTATTTGAATGTGTAACCGGTTTTGTTTTGGCGAGTGACTCGATGTTTTTTGTTCAGGACGTTGATGCCGCCGCCGGCTGCTCCAATCAGGAAGAGATTACGAGAAGAGACCTGCAGCAAAACCCTCACACACACAGGTGTGTGACCACACACACACACACACACACACACACAAACTCACTCACACACTCACTCTCACGCACAGGGTTCCCGCGGGGTCTTAAAAAGCCTTAAAAGCATTGAATTTATGAATTTGGAAATAATACCTTAAAAAGTCTTGAATTTTGATGTCTGGGTCTTAAATTATGTTGTATGTCAGTGTTCATTTCATTGACTAAAATAATGACGAAAACTTTTCTTCAACGACATTTTTCACTGACGAAAACGAGACGCTACCGTAATAAAAACTAGTTTTGAATGACAAAAACTATGACGAAAATCTATTGACATTTTCGTCAACGAATAAAAACTAGATGAAAATGTTCGATAGTGTCGATCTGGGAAGCGATCCGTCA